ATCCCCTTACTGAGGCAACCCATTCCACTGTAAGATAACTTGAACTATTAAGGAGTTTTTCCTTATATCAAGTTACTTCTAGTATTTCTCTTGTCAGATAGAACACATCTAAAACTTCATCATGACAATCCTTTGGTCATCCCTAAATCTTCTCTTCTCCAGGCTACATACCTCCAATCCCTTTAACTGAGGCTGATAGAGGGATCTTAAGTCCTTTCATCATCCTGGTAGCTCTCTTCTGTATGCTCGCCAACCTATTAATGTCTTTCATTAGCTGGTGACATAGTAGATAGAGTGCTGGGTCTGGAATCGGAAAGACCTGAGTTCACATCTGGCCTTAGACAGATTCTCCCCGATCTTGTACTTGTAAAATTAACTTTGAAAAGCAAAAGATCCACACGTAAGAATTTGCATTTGTCCCTATATAATTTAATTTTATTAGATTTGGCTCCATATTCTAATCTTCGAATATCTTTTTGGATCTGAATCCCATCATTCAATGTACTTGATAAATTTGGTAAATTTGATAAGCACACCATCTGTACCTTCATCCAAGTAATTTGTAAAATTGACAAACAGCACACATACTAATTGTGTGACCCTGGAACTTAACCTCTGTTTGCCTCAGTTTCCTTGATTGTAACATGGGGATAATAATAGCACCTACCTCCCAGTGGTGTTGAGAGAATCAAACAAGATGTTTGTAAAAGTGCTTAGCGTAGTGTCTGACACATAGGTCAGTTGTTTTTCAGTCATGTCCAACTTTTCATGACCCCACTTAGGATTTTCTTGGCAAAGATACTGGAGTGGTTTTCTTTTCCTTCTCCAGCTCATTTTACAGATGAGGGATTGAGGCTAACAGGGTTAAGTGACTCACCTAAGGTCATATAGTTAGTAAGCATCTGAAGCCAGATTTGAACTCAAAAAGGTGAGTCTTCCTGACTCCAAGTTCAGTGCTCTATCCACTTTGCTACCTAGCTGTCCCTACCTAGCACATAGTAGGTGCTCAATAAAGGCTTATTTTCTTCCTTTCCCCCTTTCCTAAAATGTGGCACAGAACACAATACTCCAAATGTGTTCTCACCAGGACAAGGGATGAAAAGGATTCTCATTTACCTTGTCCTGGATACTCTGTAGTTCTTAATGCAACCTAAGATTGTTAGCTTTTTTGGCTAGCTTGTTATTTGGTTCCCTCATATTGACTCATACCCACGAAAATTTTTAGATTTTTTTTTAGACCAACTGTTGTCTAGCCATCCTCCCCTACCTTGTACTTGTGAAGTTGACTCTTAAAAGAAAAAATGCTAAGTGTAAGATTTTGCATTCGTCTCTATATAATTTGATGTTTTTAGATTTGGCTCAATGTTTTAATTTGTGGAGATCTTTATGGATCTGAACTCTATCATCCAATGTATTTGATAAATTTGGGAAATTTGATAAGCATGTATCTGTGCCTTTATACAAGTCATTTGTAAAATTGACAAATAGCCCATACCATTGGGAATGGCTATACAAATTATGGTATGTGAATGCAACGGAATATTATTGTTCCATAAAGCTATAGACAACTGTGTGAAAGAATGCTCTGAATCACTAATAATAAGAGAAATGCAAATCAAAACAAACTTTAGGTTTCACTTCACCCTATGCAAATTAGCAAAGTTGACAAAAGATGGAAATATTTTATACTGGGAAGGGTTTATTGGAAGATATGCACACTCGTGCATTGTTGGTGGAGTTGTAAATAGCATATCCATTTTGGAAAGCAATTTGGAACTATGAAAATAAGGTAACTAAAGTGTCTATGCCCTTTGACCCAAAGATTTTATTACTAGATTTGTACCCCAAGAAGGTCACTGGTAAAAAGTAAGTTGCCACGTACGCCAGCATTTTTATTGCAGTGATTTTTGTGTTAGTAAAGAATTGGATACAAAATACATGCCCATTGATTGCGGGATGGCTAAACAAATTGTGATACATAAATATAAAGTGATATTACTGTGCTGTAAGGAAGGATGAATGTGATGAATACAAAGCACAGAAAGATCTGTATTAGCTGATGCAGAATGAAGTAAACAGAGTCAAGAAAACAAAACATGCAGTGACTGCAACAATGTAAATAGAAAAGTCAACCACAAAAAAAATCAAAAGTGAATGTTGGGAAATTATAATAAACAAGTATAGCTCAAAAGAAGAGATAGGAGAAAATACTGCCATCCCCCATCTTTGCAGAGGTGAGAGGTCCACAAGTGTACATATGTGCACATATTTCCAGACAATGTATCAATTAGTTATATTGATCATTTTCTTCTTTTTCTTTTTGTGGTCTTAGAAAATATTATTTGTTATATGGGATGGATCTCTAGGCGGGAGAGGGATGCTGCGGGGGGGGGACATAAAACTTACTTTTAGTTTTATTATTATTTTAAAGTTTTATTATTTCTTTTTTCATTTTTTTTTTCTTTTTTGTTTGGCAAGGCAATTGGGGTTAAGTGACTTGCAGGGTCACACAGCTAGTAAGTATCAAGTGTCTGAGGCTGGATTTGAACTCAGGTCCTCCTGACTCCAAGGCCAGACCTCTATCCACTGTGCCACTTAGCTGCCCCTCTTTTTTCATTTTTGATGTTTTCCCATTATACATAAAAATAATATTTAGCTTTTAAAAATTTTTTTGAGTTCCAAATTCTATCCCTTCCTCCCTCCCCTCTCCCTCCCTGAGATGGTAAGCAATTTGACATAGGTTATACATAATGTAAAACATTTCCATATTAGTCATTTTGTGGAAGAAAACTAAAAAGAAAGAGAGAGAGGGAGAGAGAAAGAGAGGGAGAGAGAGAAAGAGAAAGAAAAAGAAAGGAAGGAATAAAGAAAGAAAGGGAAAAATGGTATGCTTTAGTCTGTAATCACGCCATCAGTTCTTTCTCTGGAAGTGCATAGCATTTTTTTGTCATGAGTCCTTTGGAATTGTCTTGGATAATTGTATTGCTAAGAATAGCTAAGTTATTCATAATTCTTCATTGTACAATATTGCTATTACTGTGTACAATGTTCTCCTGGTTCTGCTCACTTCATTCTGTATCAGTTCTTGTAAGTTTTTCCAGGTTTTTCTGAAATCGTCCTGCTCATCATTTCTTACAGCACAATAGTATTCCATTACATTCATATACCACAACTTGTTCAGCCACTCCCCAATTGATGGGCATCCCCTCAATTTCCAATTCTTAGCTACTACTAAAAGAGCTGCTATAAATATTTTTTGTACAAATGTGTCCTTTTCTCTTTAAAAAAAAATCCCCTTAGGTTATAGACCTAGTGATAGTATTGCTGGGTCAAAGGTATGTATAGTTTTATAGCCAGCCCTTTGTGCATAGTTCCAAATTGTTTTCCAGAATGGTTGGATCATCAGTTCACAACTCCACTAACAATGCACTAGTGTCCCAGTTTTTTCACATCCCCTCTAACATTTATCATTTTCCTTTTCTGTCATATTAGCCAATCTGACAGGTGTGAGGTGGTACCTCAGAGTTGTTTTTTAGTGTGCATTTCTCAAATCAATAGTGATTTAGAGCATTTGGTTATGACAATTATTATTTCAGTAAAAACTTTTTTTTAAAAGACTCTACTATGTGCAATGCTTTAGGTTCTGAGGATACACAAGACAAAAATGAAAACAGTTCTGGTAAATTCCTGTTACACTTGACAATTGTGCCAAATGTCCCTCAGTTGATTAGCTGCGGAGAACAGATACTTCACCAGAGAGACAGTAACAGGGATCAATGGAGCACAGGTTCCACACAAGTTCCTGTCCCTCATTGTGCTGCAACAGTGACCTGGGGTTCTTGGACATTATGCCAGTAGGGTCTGAGTTCTGGCATGCTCTTCCAAGCTGGAAAATCTAAGAATGGAGAGGTTCATCTGTCTGGCCACTAGGTAAGTTTTGTTGCCTGTTAGAATGGAAGTTCAAAAGAACCATTCTCCTTGACATGGAAAGGGAGCTTGGATCCAGGGGTGGGGAGCCTGTGGCCTCGAGGTCCTCAAGTGTGACCCTTTGACCAAATCCAACTTCAGGCTCCCCACCCCTGGATTAGACCTTTTCCCACAGAGATGGGCATGTGTTCTTTATTTCCTTGGGGACAGGCACATGTGCTCTGGGCCCTCAATGAAGAGCTTGTTTGACCAGACGCTACTGGTTGATCCCTCAACCCCTACAGTCATGAGGACCAAGGAGAAAATAAAGATTCCCCATTCTGCTTTTTTTTCCCCCTGGGCTTTATTCATGGCAACAGCAGTGGTTCTGATAGTGATGCCATCCTGTTGTATCACTCTGAGATTATTTTAATAACCTAATTTTTGACTTAAAATTTGCTTAAGGGATTTATGCCTAAGGACTCAACTACCCTTTGCCCCTAAAGCCTTCTGGGAGGTGTAGACCTTGGTAGAAAGTCCCTAAGTCCCCAGATAGTTGTAAGCCACTCCCCTTATCTCAATTGTTGAACTTCTCTTTGAAGAACTTGGCTCCCTTCCCAGGCCTGTACCTCCCAGTTTCCTTAACACAATTATTTGTTCTAGGAGTTCATTAGCTATAACCTCTGAGTGTTCCCAGTATACTCATCAGTACAATTAATCTTTAATCTATTCATTTTCCAGGTCCTCTCTTTCCCCTATTTGTTTGTTGTATTTTTATATTTTTTATGCAATTCACAGTTTTGTATATAACTCTCATTTTTCATTCTCTATGTGTTGAAATATACATGTTTGTTGATGTTTATTAAATTCACTTTTTTTTCCCTAAAAGTCAGAAAAAAGAAAGACCCAGAGCAACTGTGTGGCTTGTTGATTTTTAATTCCATTTCCATCTCAGTTTTTATAGATGTACCACAGATATTAGCACAGCATTTATTCTTACTTTTTAAAAAAATTTTTTTTTTAGGCAATTGGGGTTAAGTGACTTGCCCAGGGTCACACAGTTATTAAGTGTCAAATGTCTTGTCTGAGACTGGATTTGAACTCAGGTCCTCCTGACTTCAGGGCCGGTGCTGTCTCTGCCATTCTTACTTTTCTTGCTACTCCTTTTGGCATGCTTTAAAATTCATTTCACATAGTTGTTGGATGTATGTTTGCTAGCAATCTGCACTTTGTGACACTGATTCCAGATGTCTGTGTTTTGGTTCTTCTCTACTTTTGTATGGTTTTTATGGACAATTAATTCTTTCAGCAATCCTGTGTGTAGCAGGTTCTTCTTCAGGAGGGCGTGGCTATCACAGGGATGGATTGACCGGAACCTTGGCTTAGGGTATTCAAACTCAGAAGGGGTTGGTAGATTGGGCGCTGCTTCTACCGGACACTGGTTAGTGAACTTAGCACCTAGTTAGGAAGAATAATCAGTTAAAATGGGGAAGCCATGAGATGACTTTCTCCCTCCATGAGGAACACCACCCAAAGTTAGCTCCTTACTCTTCTGGTTTTCTGGGACCTGCCCATCCTGTGCCCATGGCCTTCCTACCAGTGACCTTGCAGTACAACAGGGTTTCTGCCCACAGGGGCTGGATGTGCCCAAGTTTCTGCACTCTGCACACAGATAAGTATCATTGCCCCCTTCCCACCTCTCAACTGCATTTGTCTTTAAAAGTTAATTTATATTATTGTCTTCTGGGGAAATCATCATATGACTCCCTACTTCTTATGGAGATGAGGACCTCAGGAATGAAATGTCATCAGACTTCATTACCATCTTTTGGGTTTTCTCAGCTGCTTTTGTTACCAGGGGGATTGAAAAATGGCCTTTTGTGTTACAAACAGAAGACATCAAAAAGACTTTTTAAAAGGAAAGAAAAGAAGTTGTTTTGAGGGCACCTTTCTGCTGCTTACCTTGGGTGCCAAAATTGTTGGTTATGGTTTTTCAGACAAGTTTAACAAAGAATCAGTTTAACTGACAAGTGTGTCTGACTAATGCCATGTACAGTACTGCTCCAAGGAACTAGTCTTTTCCTGCTGATTAAAGGTCTTTTATTTGGGAGAGAGACATCATAGATAGAGGGCTAGCCCTGCAGTCAGAGCCTTCTAGCCTTGCCTCTGACACAAGCTCTCTGTGTGACTGAGGATGTCACTTAGCATTTCAGTGCTTCCAAGGAACTCTCCAAGAATATGTTATCTATGGGAACATTAATGTCTATTGATGTCTGTAAAGTTCATAATGAAAGAAAGGAATTAAAAACAAAACAAAAAGACCATAAGCTACACACAGGTCGATCTGTATTGCTTTGAGGGAGTGTCCACACCAGGACAATTCTAGGTCCCCACCCTCACCAGGCATCACCATGTCAAGGTGAACTGTGCTTCATTCAATGTGAACTCAGCAATAGAAAGTTGGGGGACTACCATTGTGGCATATTGCATATATTATCGGACATAGTCATTGCCAGTTAGCTTTCCTTTACTGGTTTTGTCAAAAGGGAGGATTCTATGGGGTTGGAGTATATCAGGAAATGATATCAGTAAAACTTTAAAAATACATAAATAAACATATAAAATATTTTAAAAATATTTTTAAGGTAAGCTGGGGAAGTAGGTAGAATCAATATCCTGAGGGAGACAGGATGTATGAATGTTCATTGGGTTCAGTATGCTACCATCATGTCAACTCTGCCAATGGGCTGAGAACTAGAAATGAATCTCTTTCTCCCATTCCCACCTTTTTTTTTTTTAAAGTTTTTGGGCAATTGGGATTAAGTGACTTGCCCAGGGTCACACAGCTAGTGTTATGTGTCTGAGGTCAGATTTGAACTTGGGTCCTCCTGACTCCAGAGCCAGTGCTCTATCCACTGTGCCACCTAGCTGCCCCTCCACTCCCACCTTTTAAAATATAGTAGAAGGTTCAGTAGAGGGCAGATTTGGGAACAAAAAGTCAGATTAGTCTGGGGCTTCAGGAGGGAATAATCCTTCTTGAACCAGAGTATAAAGGGTAATGAAGGGTAGTGATCAAAAATGGCCACATAGTAAGAACAAGCCTGGATGTTCACTGGGACAAGAGGCAAACAAACAAATAAACAATAAAACAAACAAACTGAGACATAGGTAGAACCAGCTTTAGGGTTAGGGCAGTTCTAATGGCAAAAAATGTACAGACATTCTGCTTTTCAGCATGCCCAGCTTCACTTTCTTAAGCTTAGTCATTCAACAAAATAATAAATCAAGTCTTGATCTGCAGTATTTGCTGATTTTTGAAGTGTAAATGCTCAGTGAAAACTTAAAAATTAGCTCTCTGGCTCCAGCACACCTTTGGATTAGGCCTACGGAAGGTATTTTAGAAGATTCCTGTACATTAACTTGTCAATTCTCTGGCTTTTGTGTCTTGTTTTTGTTTTTCTCTTACCTAGGAAAACCCCTTTTGAGAAAACAAATAAATTGTGTCTCACCAGAGAACGATTTGTTTGTATCTCTCTTTTTTTTGGTGAGGCAATTGAGGTTAAGTGACTTGCCCAGGGTTACACAGCTAGTAAGTGTCAAGTGTCTGAGGCCATATTTGAATTCAGGTCCTCCTGACTCCAAGACCAGAGCTCTATCCACTGCACTACCTAGCTGCCCCAATTTGTTTATATCTCTGCAAAGGTTAGGGGATCATGGTGCCCACTCCAAGAAGCAGAGAAAGATTCTGGAGTAGGTATAGACAAAAATGAAAATCTCCCATAAATCAGCCAGCTTTGATTCAGCCAAGGCTAACTTTCCTCTAGCTCTACCCAATCTCTCAAAATTGCTGCCTGTTTTCTCTTCAGGACTTTGTTTCATCAGTTATACTCTCATAAATCTTTGATCTTTTCTCTCCTAGGCGCCTTCCCAACTGCTACAAACTCAGAAACACGGAACCACCAAGTCCTAGCATCTTTCTTCAATGTCACCTAATCCAACTTCCCTCATTTTACAGGCTCAGTTCTTAGCTGTCTTTAAAAAAAAAATCTTCCATTTTTTGCCTGCATCTCTTTCCTCCCTTGCACTGAAAAACTCCTTGAAAAAGTTGTCTACACCATTTCATTTCTTTACCACCTAACACACTCAATTCCTTAGAATTTGGCTTCCATTTCTGTGATGATGCAGAAATTATCCTAAGTCCTATGACTTTTTCTTAAATTCATTGCTCTTCAATCAACCAGCCAATCAATGAACATTTTTTAAGCAGCTACTTTGTGCTGGGTACTGTACAAAGCACTGAGGATACAAAAAAGAGGCAAAAGATAGCCCCTGCCCTCAAGGAGCTTACAGTCTAATGGAGGAGACCTATGCAAACAAATATATACAAAGCAAGTTACATTCAGGATAAATTAGAAATAATGAACAGAGAGAAGGCACTGGAATTTAGAGGGGTTAGGGAAAGCTTTCTATAGAAGGTGAGATTTTAGTTGGGATTTAAAAGAAACCAAAGAGAGGTCAGGAGTTGGAACAGAGGAAGGTGAGTATTAAAGGCATGGGGTCAGCCAGAGAAATTGTCCAGAGCTGAGAGATGGAGTGCCTTGTTTGAGGAAAAGCCAGGAGGCCAGCATCACTGGATTGAAGAGTATGTGTTGGGGAGTAAGGTGTGAGAAGACTGGAAAGATAGGACGGGAGGAGATTATGAAGGGCTTTGAATGCCAGTATCATCTCCTTGATACTGTTTTCTGTGACATTGCATTCTCTGGTTCTTCTCCTGCTTCTCTGATTTCTTCTTGTCTCCTTCATTGACTCATTTTCCAGCTCTTAAATCTATAATCTCATAATAGCTAATGTCCGCAATTTTCTCACTGGATTAAGAAGTGAGGTCCTCAGTTGAGAAAGAGAGAAGGAGAGGTGAAAATCTCTGTGTCACAGGATTTTGAGGAGGGTGACTTAGTGGAAAGAACACTAAATGTTGAGTCAGGAAGCTGTTGTTAAGTTGCTCCCAACTCTCTGTGTCCCCATTTGGGATTTTCTTGGCAAAGATACTGGAATGGTTTGCCATTTCCTTCTCCAGTGCATTATACAGATGAGGAAACTGAGGCCAATAGGGTTAAGTGACTTGCCCAGAGTCACACAGCCAGTAAGTGTCTGAGGCTTGATTTCAACTCAGGTTTTCTTGACTCTAGGCCCAGTGCTTTGTCCACTGTGCTATGTAGCTGCCCCAGTTCAGGGAAACCTGGGTCCAAATCCTGTCTCTGACACTCAGTGACCTTGGGCAAATCATTTCATCTCTCTGAACCTCAGATTCTTCTTTTGTAAATCAAGGAGTTTAGTACTAAATGGACTCTGAGATCTCTTCCAGATCCTATGCTCATCCCAACTCCAAGTCTAGTGCTCTATTCACTGAAAATTCACACAATCCTGAAGGAAGATCTTTCCTATTTCCCCCCAAAAGAGTTCCCTTGAAATTGCTTCCTAGTTGCGTAGAAGTTAGAAGCACCTGAGTCCTGCATCATTTTGCTGATATTGGACACTGGGTAGTATCACATATGGCCAGCACCCACTAGGATGGGAAATGGAGAATCAGCTCAGCTGGTAAAACTCAGGCAGTATGAGGCAAGATCTGACTACAAGTAAGTACTAATCATTTCTCATTTCTCCAGTTGTGGATGGATGAATGAATAAAACATTTACTGAGCACTTATCACGAGCAAAGCACTATGCGGGGGGGGCGAGGTGGGGGTGGGGGAACGGTTTACAAAAAGAAAAGACAGTCCTTGTTCTCAAGGAACTCACTTTCTAATGGAAGAGATAACACACATCGAAGGTCCTTAGAGTGTAGCAACAAAATGGATGTTAAAGCCTCTTCTTTACTGTCATTTCCACAGAAAGAATTACACTCATATTAGTTTCTGAGACAGAACCATTTAACAGTTCCAAGGACTTAGATGTTAAGAGCATTCTTTTCTTGGTTTTCAGTAGCAATGGCTGTAGTACCCACAGAAGCAATTTTCAGAATGCATCTCCTTAAATGTTGCTTCCCAACGCTATGGCTGAGGGTATGGGGCTGGAAGCATTCTCAAGGCTTTTGTGTTCAGGATCCTGGGCTGTCTCCATCAGGGTCTGAGAAGAAATAATGGTCAAAGTCATTATGGTTTGCTTTGCCTGATGCATCCTGTTTCCTCTCTCTCCTTCAGGTTGAATTGCTGCTTCAGCTGGACTGGTTTGCCTGTCCTTTGTGTGACAGTTGGCAGGGACAACTAGCCCCTCTGAGACAGGAGCCACTGGGCTGGGAGCAAGGATGGTGGTCTTAGGTGGGGGTGCCAGTGCTGCTACTGATCCCAGAGCTCTTGTACCTATCTAGTGGTAGTTGATCAGCACTTGTTGCTGATGGTGATAAGGAAGATGGGTCCTTCTCTCCTCAATGTTGGCTGTAAAGGCTGGACTAGAAGTAGGTC